TGACTCATAGCGACCCCTCCTTGGGTTTCCGAGGCAGTATCACTACGGAAGTAGGATTGCCCAACCTTCCTTCCGAGGAGTGGCTGATGGGTTTGAACCGCCAGCCATCTGGTGAGCAGTCAAGTGCCTTAGCCACTATGCTACCAGAGCTCCCACACCTGCCATTAACTCTCTCCAAATCCCCAAGCTCTGTCCATTCCACGAGGGCAGGGCCAGGGCTGGCCTCAGCAAGTGCTGGGTACCGGCCTCAGGGCGAACGACTGGGCCACAGCACAGCATGTGCCACCATCAGCGCCACCACTGTGATTAACACAGCGGATGCTTCTGTTCAAAAGCTTGTATGCCAAGTGACAAACTCAAGTGAGGTCACAGCACTCGTCTTCCTGTTTGCAGATGAAGGGGCTGAAGCCCAGGAAGCCGAATGAGGGTCCCAGGGCCCCAGAGCCATCGAGCACTGGGCCCAGATTTAGGGGCAGTCTCCTGGCTCCCAAACCAAAATAAAACAAACCCGGTGCCACTGAGTCGATTCCAATTCATGGTGACCCCATGGTGACCCGGGAGAACCACCCCATAGCGTTTGCTTGGCTGACTGTTCGGAGGGAGGTCACCAGGCCTTTCCTGAGCAGCACTGGTGCACGGGTTCCAATCACCAAACTCTCGGTCAGCAGCCAAGCGCATCTCTTTGAGCCACCCCAGGACCTGCTTCCCCCGACTGCCACCCTCTGTGAACACCATGACCTAACACCTGTGTCCCCCAGCCCACCACTCTGGGCCCAGCCAGCACTGTGCTGAACACACAGCAGCCACTGAAAACTCAAAACACAAAACACACTCAGATCCAATCAAACACAAAAAGGCCCGGAGGTAAGTAGCGCCAAAGGGCTTTCAAATCTCCCAAGCTGGCTGAGGCGCTGAGCCAGTTCTTTCAATAGCCTGGCCCTCAGGTTCATTCCTCACCTGCAGGAGAACCAGAGCGCCCACCCCTCAGAGCACTGGGAGAGTTAGAACAGGGCTTTCCAGGCAGCTCCTAATATAGTCACAAGCACATTGAGTGCCTCTTCCCACTCAGCCCACTGCTAAACCACTGCAACTTGGGCACCTCTCAATTCCCATAACCCATCCCTCATTCCCCACCCCAAAAACACTGCGTTTGGAAATTCTGGATGCTTCTGTTCAGGGCTACACAACTCACATGAGTGTCAGACGGGCCCCAGAAATTGAAGTGGGGGCAGAGTTGCCCAGAAATTGAAGTGGGGGCAGATCCCATGCATGCAAAAGGGGGCTGCTGAGATGACCAGGCTCAGGGGCTCCCTTCCCACCCCCAACTCCACCCTTTTCCCACTGAGCTGGCCGCAGACTTCCACCAACAGTTTTCACCAAACAAAGGCGATTCCACCCAGGCCAGGAATGCAGTAACAGGCAGGATCTCCTTTCAGGGAAGGCCGTTACAAGGCAGAAGAATTTGCCCATGGTCTGTTCTTCAGTCTTCAAGTACTAGGACACAGCCCCTTGCAACTTGAGCAAAGAAAGTTTGAGAGAATTAAAAGTCCCACTTCCCCAGGTGTGGAATTAACTGAATGGAAGTCATTACCCCAAGACACTGTTGGTAGATGGCTGTGAGACGCTGCGGCAGGTGGACAGAAGGCAGGACACCCCAGGCTTCAGGGCACCCAGGGCTTCCCACACATCCTGCGCTCAGGTGTCCCCGACTGCAGTCCCACAGCACAGCGCCACCAGCACAGTGAGCCCCAGGAAGGCTGTGCCATTCTGTCGGAGCAGGGCAGACAGTTCAACAGACCCACCAAGGCGAGCCAGGAGAGCTGAGAGGGGCTGCCGGCTGGGTAAAATCCCACTTAGTGAGCTTTCCCCAAAGGGCCCTTCCACCCAAACAGGCCCTTTCACATCGCTGGATAGGAACCACGCTCTCAAGAAAACAACCTTGGGAAGCCTGAAGACCTGGCAGGGACTGAGGAACGGTCTGGTAGCAAGGTCCTTTGCCCAGACAACCTGAAACCTGGGCAGGAGGAGCGCGGCTCTCCAGGCAGCTTAGCAAGCGCTCGGCTCCCGTTGCCACCTGGGCAGGAGCTAGGGCGCCAGAGTGAGTGTCACGTTCAAGTTCTGGGGAGCTGGGAAAGCTAGTGGGATGCGCAAAAGCGGTCTCCAGGGAGGCGGGATGGCGCTGGGAAGGTCGCAAACACACGGGCAGGGCACCCCTTGTCCCCTGGGGCACAGCAGGCCGAGCTGGGAGGCGCAGCGCCAGCGCATGAGTTACTTACCTGGCGGCAGCGTCTCCGGAGCCAGCTTCTCCTTCTTGGGCCCTTTCTTGGGCTTGGTCGCCTTCTTAGGTGGCCCGGGCGCGGGCGGCTCGCGCGCCTCCTCCCTGGTCCCCGCGGGCGGCGGCGGTGAAAAGGGCTCGGACACCGATTCCGGGTGCGCATAGTAGGGCTCCCGGCTCCAGGTCTCCTGCACGTCGTAACCCGCGTCCTCAGGAACGAAGGCCTGGGTCCTGGTCCAGGCCATCGCCAGGAGAGCGAGGGCCAGCGCCAGCGCGGCGGCGCCCTGGCGGGCCATGCCCGCTTAGCACGGCGCCCAGGGCAGGGTCGCCAGC